TTCGCCACGTGGGGATACAGCTGGGCCCACAGGAGATGTGTGAGGCCCTTCGGCTGGCGGACTTAGATGGTGGGTGCCGCCTCCGTGCCTTCTTGCCTTCTCCTCAGGAGTGCTACCCCAACCTACAAAACCCTTGGCCTGGTTCCAGTTTGTTTGTTTGTTTGTTTGTTTAAGTTCCCTCTTCCAGGAAGCTAGCCTAGGTTAGCACCTCTATCAATCCTCATCTGCCCCAGCCCCCTCCGCCCCCAGGGCAAGAACTGTTTCTCTCCACACTGGCATCCTTTGGTTGTTACGTAATCTCAGTATTTTACGGGGTAACCTATTTTTAAATAGGATAAATGGTTTAGGGGAAGGTTATGAGGATGGAGGAAATCCCAGATAATTCTCGTGTGTATTTAAAACCCTAAAGTATTAGCTACAGGACAAACCTTCCAAATAGGGCAAGTACCCACTGCCTCCTGTCTTCCCAGGTGATGGAATCGTAAGCTTCAAAGACTTCCTAGGTGTCCTCACTGACAACCACCGCCTGGCTCAGTGCATGGGTGAGCAGCGGTTAAGCTGGTGGGGGGAGGGGTAGCGGGGGAGGGGAGGGGATCTGGAATGACGACACTGCTCCTCACTCTTGCCTATGTTTGCCATACTCAGTCCAAATGAAGAACAGTCGGAGCTATGAGCCCCAGAGCCTGCAGACCCTGTTCCTCGAGGTGCTGTTCAAGCTGCTGAGTCAGGGCTTTGTGCCTTTCAGATCAAGGCAGGAGATTATCAGGTGGGCACAACCACCCCCAACTCCCAGGCACGAGATTCGGAGGTCAGAACTCAAGGCTTGAGGGAGTCCCGTGACGTTCCCACCCCTAGTGAACGCCCTGACTTCCGAGTCCATTTACTGGGCCCCAGGTCATCCCTTAGCCAAAGACAAGTCGCCTCCGGTCCCGCACGGCTCTTCCCCACCGGTAAGATGGAGGAGAGCGAGCGGCGGCGTCTGAGCCCACTGTCCCACTTTTCTCCCCCTCCAAGCTACTATTTCAAGAAGCAGCGGGCTCTGCGGTTGAGCATGTGCGGTAATCGCCGGGCTCGCGGCCAGGGTAGGCCTGCGCGTGCGCACACGGGCCTCACCTTCTTCTGCCAGGCGGCGCGCCTCGGCGGCCTCTCCAGCTCGCAACTGGCGCTCTCCCTGCACACACTGTACCGAGCGGGTGCGCCCCCAGCCGGCCCGCGGGAGACGGGGGCCGAGGGGCGGGGTGGGACCCCGCAGGAGGGGGGAGGTGCTCGGGGTCGTCCGCTGCCCAGCCCCGCCGCCGCCGCCTGCTCCCGCGGGGCCCCTCCCAGTACTGTCCCCGCCTCTCTCTCCTCTGGGATCCCACCCTAGGTGGGCGCAGCCCCTACGCTCAGATTCCCAGCCTGGCCGGGCGCCCGAGGCCGGAACACAGGAACTCGAACCGAGCCCTAGGCTCCGACGTCCGCCTCCCCAAGCCCGAAAAGCCAGGCCGCCCTAAGCTCCCTCCCAACCTGTGGCCACTCAGCAAAGGTGAGAATCCGCAGGCTCTTAAGGACGAGGCAGATGGGGCGGAGGCGGGACGGCAGATGGGGTGTGACTGGCCGGCAGCAGGAGCTAGGGTACAGCGAGGACTGAACCGGAAGAAGTGGGGACCACAGGGGCTGCAGGATAGCGCCCGGGTGTTGCCGATCGCGCCCCGCGTCCCTAACGGTTGCCCCCTCCATCTTCCCCAGGTCCCCTCCGCCCTCCCGCTGGGCTAGTGAGCCAGCCGGTGGAGCAAATGCGCCCCTCGAAGCTGTCTCCCTCCCCGACAACTCTAGTGCAGAGGCACCCCAACTCCCCTTCGCCAGCCTATTTCCAGAGATCTGCTATGAAGAGCTTATACAAATAAAGCGCTTGCTGAGCGAAACTGGCTGCGCCTGGTTGGGGTCACGAAGCGAGCCGACGCGCGTCTTTTGCAAATATCTTTATTAATCTTGTATAAAAATAAGGTCCAAGGATAGAGTCCTTCGGGCTAGGGCGGCGGCGAGGTGCACTTTATAAGTTACAGTCCAGGCTCCCGCTCAGGCTAAGTATGGCTATTGGAGGGAGAGGATGCTGCGAGCAGCTTTTTTTTTTTGGGGGGGGGGGGGGGGGGGGCTTCAAGGCTTGTAGTCAGCAGGAGCGGATGCCCGACCCAGCCGAGCTAAGGACCACCTTCCTTGGGCTCCAGCCTGCCAAAAGCCCTAGAGAATCCACCGGCGGAAACTGTGGCTACAGCGAGAGGTCAGCGGTGACCTGCAGGGGGGGTCCTGGAGGCCGTCGGCGCCCACTTCGGCGTCCTGTGTCTGCACGGATGTAGGGCTGGTTCCGAAGATCTGGCAGCCAAAGGAGACACATTGGCCCGGGCTCCAGGGCACAGGCTCATCGCTCTAAGGGCTTGATTTTGTGTGCATGGGAGGGGGTGGAGGGGACACTGATGGCCCTCGACCAGAAAACACCACCCTCTAAAAGAGCCCAGCCATGCAGTGGCCCAGGTTGGGGAGGCATGCCTGGCCCGCCAAGCCCTGGAACCACAGGCCAGGTTAGCTAGGTACCTGGGAGCTAGAGGGTCATCTCCTCTCCCAGGCTGGCCTCACAGAGGAGCCTGGATGTCCGCTTGCCGGTGCGGGCAGTGAAGGGCACTGTCTTGAGCACTGAGGTTTTAGGGACAGAAGGTACAGAGAGGGAGAGAAGAGAAAAACAGAAAAGGTAGCAAGAGGTCTGGAGGACAGGCACGGTGGCCCACGCCTTTAATCCCAGCACTGAAGAGGCAGGAGGATCTCTGGGAGTTTGAGGACAGACAGCCTGGTCTACACAGCGAGTTCCAGGACAGCCCAGGGCCACACAGTGAGACTGCAGCAGAGCCCTCGGGGTGAGGCGGGGATTCAGGAAGAGTGTGACATGGGACAGACTGAAGGACGGAGACCTCACGCCAAGCCCTCACCTGTGATGATGTCTTCAATGGCCCCATCTCGGTCACTCTCGTAGATAAGTGGTTCTTTCTGCTGCTTCCGTTTCAGCTCAGAGATGAGGTCCATCTGTTGTCGCCTGGCCTTGGGTGGAGACTGAGGAGAGGAACAACTCTAACTTTAGGATCCTTCTCAGTCCACCCACTCCGGAACATCTGTGTAGTCCCTCAGAGCAAGGACAGCCAGCTCAGGCAGAAGGAACCTGAACCTGCTTCCTCCCCTGGCTTCTGGACCACTGTCCTTGTCATTGTCCTTGGGTAGGCTCTGTCTCAACACTGAAGGTGTAGGGGCAAGATGGAGAGGACGAAAGGGATGCCACCAATTCCCGTACCCCAGGGACCAGGCTTGGGGACGGCTGCCTACCTTGGGCGCTGCAGGCTCTTCCCTGCCTGAGGTGTCTGCGGCTGCTTCCTTCTTCCACTGTTCCACCTCTTGTTCCGCTTTCTGAGGACACAAGGCAGGTGTTGGGGAGAACAGCCCTTCCTCCTCCCGTCCTACCTGGGACAGACAGTGCCCCTACTCCTCCTACCGAGAAGCTCTGGGGCCTGCACCCCACCCATCAGACACTTGTACCTTGTAGGCCTTGGTGAAGCGGCTGAAGAGGGAAAAAAACATGGAGGGGGATGTGGTCTTGGGATTTTCTCCAAAGTACTCCACCACAGACTCGTAGGCCTCCTGCAAGCACAACCCATCAGCCCCGCCAAACTTGGGCTCCCTGGAGCCTGACCATGCTCCGGTGCACATCTCTGTTCTTCCACACAGGATGGTCCCTTGCTCTTCCTCCATCCTCCCAGGGTGCTGCCTGTGGCCACACCCCTTCAGGCCTTTGCCTCACGACCCCCCCCCCCCCCGCCAAGGCTTCAGTGGCTGGTGCTCCTTTGTTCCCACACACACACCTGAGCTGTCTTGCTGTCTGCCAGCAGCTTGTCCATGATGGGAGAGTTGGTCCTCAGGAACTCCTTGAGCACCAGGCAGTCATCCTGCCGCACAAACTCTCGCTGCGTCAACTCCAGACCTCGCTGCAAGGAGCGCACATCCCCCAGGACACTGTCCAGGGACACTGGAGTGGACAGCACGGAGTCAGGGGATAGGGCAGCAGCAGGCACACAGTTATATCCTATAGCACCTCTTGCTTCCTCCTGACTACACGTCAGTGGCCCAAGGACCAAGGTCCCTACTCACACCCAAGACCCCAGCGCCCCATACCTGAGCCTGCCTTGTCCAAGAAGTGCAGGTCGCTGTGAAAGCCAGTGAGCTGCGGGTACTTCTCTGCGATGACCTTTACCAGGTAGTGTAGCAATGTCTGTTTTCGGTCGGTCGACTTCATCTCCAACAACTGGACAAGGGTCTCTTATAAGCCACGGGCCACCCACCAGACCCCAGACCCCAGACCCCAGGCCAGGATCCCCTCCTCACCGCATCCAGACTCTGAAGTCGGAAACCATAGGCTGCCCCACGCTTACTACTGTTCATGTAGTTGCCAAAAGCCAGGACAATCTGCGAGAGGCAGAGACAGACTCAGTGGGATCCAGGCTGCGGGAAAAACCCTTGAAGAACGTATACTTCTCAGACAGGAAGAAGGGTGGCAAGCAGGCAGCCCTCACACTCAGCCCCTCCTGAACGGGCCCTTCAGTTCCATGACACATGGCATCCTGTACGCGTGAACGCTACTACCACCACGAGTACACTCAAATTGTATCCACTAGTGCACCTCCAAACTGGCCTGCCGCCCCCCTTCCTCGGTCCCGACAGCCATGTGTTCTTGTGTGCAGACCCTCCGCCAGGCAGGTGAGGTTATCGTACCTCTCCCAAAGTAAATCCCCAGGGGGACTGAGCCCTGGGGGCTAGGCTGCTGTTGCTGTTGCCCCTCCCCACCTCCCACCTTGTCTATCAGAGCCCGCATGTGAGAGACGCGAACATCGTCTTTGCTATATCCCAGATGGGTAGGGCCTGAGCCTCCCTTTTATGCCACCTAAGCCTGGGCAAGGGTAGGCCCTGCTTCTGGGCCCCTCACCTCCAGGATCTGACGGAGCTTGTCAGAGGACTTGATGGACATTGAGGCTGCAATGATGGCGTTCAGTTGCTGAGGGTGGGATGAAGGTGAGGTAAGTTAGACCCTCCCCGGCCAGGAGGCTCCCATCCTCCCGACTGCCCTCCTGGAAGCCGGGCTCAGAACCGCCTCCTCCCTACCCACCAGCCCAGGCTCCACCACACCGCCCTGCCCGTCCTGCCCACACCGGCATGAGCAGCTGGGCTGTGTCTGGAAAGTTGCCCAGGAAGGTGAGCGTGTTCATGCGCTCTGGCAGTCTCGGGATGCGGCTGAAGTGCAGCATGAAGCGGTCTTCCTCTGACAGCTCCTCCATGGGCCGCTGTCCCTTCTCGAACTGGGCTATGAGGCTGCGCTCATACTCCGTGGGCAGGAATCGGGTCAACAGCTCCAAGAAGTCCAGGCTGAGAGTCTGCAGGTCATACCTGCGTAAGGACAGAGGGAAGACAGGCGTCAGTCCACCCTTACAGAGAGCATGGCTGAACAGGTGACCTTCAGTGTCTGCAGACAGCCACAGAGAACAAGAGCTAGGAGTCAAGGGGAACTGGCAGGTGCAGAGCCATAAACCCTTTGGCCTGGGTGGCCATGGCGGGCAGAAATGGGAAGAGAGTCGGGAGATCTCAGTCTGGGCATGGACTCAAATATAGTCTCAGTTTTCTTGCTCTCAAACTGAGGGCAACGTTACCTGACCAGGACTGGTGTGAAGGTTTGCTGGGTTCTGTCCCGCTGCTGGGGTTCTTAACTATGCCCTGCCTGATGATCCTAGCCTAGCAAGGGGGCAGGGTCATACAGGTACTTACGTCTCGATGGCCTGGCAGATTCTGTCTGCCCCTAGATTGCCCTTGCGCAGGGTGATGGCCAGATTCTTGGCCCGGTTGGCCTCGATGAGTGTCGCCTTAGTGGGGGCTTTGTGGGCTGCCTTTCCCTTCAGAGCGCTGAGGTCCAGGCTGGGGCCTTGAGATTTGGTCTTGAACTGCTCCTCAAAGTCACTCATGTCTAGCTCCTAAGGGCACGGGGAGAGAAAGCCAGACTGGGTGAAGTCGAGATCTGCCCAAGCTCCTGGGCTGGTAGTGTAGCCCCACAGTACCACCGGACAGAAACACCAGCGAGCTAGCTCCGCCACAGCCTTGACGGGAGATACAGGGAGACACAAGCAAGGTCGGACAGTGAACACAACACATGGGAACCAGATTCCTGGCCACCAAAGCTGAAGGAAGGGCCGAGCAGCCAGCAGTATGAGAAAGGCCGTTCTAGGCAGAGAAAACAGCGTGAGCAACGGCCCAGAGGACAGGGAACCCATTCCAAAGGAAAACTGTTACCAGAAGGCCCCAGGCCTTAGTTATGGGAACTGAGCAGAAAGGAGAGGCCACACTTGGGGCAGAGGACAGCCTGCAGGGGTCAAGAGACTGCCTTCTGGACGCACCAATCCAGTGCCTTCAAGCCCTAGGCTCTCTCAGTCTCATCTGTAAGCCAGGTGAAGGAGACACCACCCAGCCCTCTGCCAGCCCGACCCTGGAGCCCTCTGCTGCCCACTCACCCGCAGCACCTTCTCGTCATTGAGCTCAGTGAAGACGGTGCCTGTGATCTGGTTGGGCTTCAGTGCCACCCAGTTCAGCAATGGCATCCGGAACTTGGTCTGGATGGGTTTCTTGGTTTTCATCCCTGGGAGCAAGAAGACAGGCGGGAGGCAGAAGGGGACTCCTAGGTAGAGGGGCCCCAGAGGACAGCGAAGGGGCCCCTGCTCCACTTACCTGGGCCTATCTCTGGGCCTTGTCTTCCAAGGATATCAGGAGGCCCTCCAGGAGGTGGTGGAGGTGGTGGCGGCACTGGTCCATCAGTACCAAGTGGGGGCGGTGGGGGTGGGGGCGGCCCGTCTCCAGGCAACGGTGGTGCAGGTGGGGGCTCGGCGCAGCCTGGGAGGGGCGGGGCCGGCGGGGGTGCCGAGGGAAGGGCTTCTTGCTCGGACTGGAGGTTGGGTAGTGGGGGTGGGGGCGGCGGCGGCGGCGGCGGCGGCGGCGATGCTGTTCCAGGGACCGACTCTGCTGCAGGTGGAGGAGAGGGCGTGGGAGGGGCCCGTCAACCCCTCGGCTGAGGACGCACGTGGTGGTTGGGGGGTGCCGCCTCCTCCCTGCCCTATGCATTCATCCAGAACCCGTTTCGGCCCACCTGCTTGTGCCTGTGCCACGCCCCACAATCCACCTCCTATTTCACAGCCAGGTATGTCCCCAGGATCCCCTTGCCCGCCCTGGTCTTCCCCCCCCCCCCCCCCCCCCCCCCCCGGCCCAGCTTCAAGCTCCCGCGTACCTGGGCTAGAGGAGTCAGTGGGCACCATCGGAGCCGGTGCGTCATCACCGCTTGGTGTCGCCGCGGCGCCTGGGAGGATCTCGATGGACACAGCATCCCCCGGTCCCCGCAGGATACGGATTAACCCCTTTTCCTCAAGCTCCTCCACTTTCAGCTCTAGGGCTGAGGGTCGCCGCACCATGGTAGGGGCGGGCACTTTCTCAGGCTCGGGGGCTCGTCTGGAAGTGCCCATGGGGGTCGACTCGCTGTAGCGCTCCTACGAGCCCCGGGGGGGTGGGGAAGGAAGATCAGCGCCCACCCGCGAGCTCTCTGGCCTAGAGCAACCCCGCCCCATCCGCCTCTGAGCAGGACTGAGATGTCCAGCCGGGAGGACTCCATCCCTGGGGAACCCGGTTCGGCCCACACCCCAAGCCTGGCCCGGCCCACTCACCCTCAGGGTCTCCAGCTCCTTGCGGGCCTGGCTCAGCTGCTTCTCCAGTTCGGCGATCTTGGCCATGGAGTCGTTCTCTGCGTCCCGAAGCCGCTCCGTCAGCTGTGGCAGAAGTACATGCTGAGCCACCACCCGCGGCCAGGCACTGGCACCGCCGGTGAGGGGGCGGCATCAGGCAAGCCTGCCTGGAGGTCCGGGGGAGGCTCCCACATCCGCTTGGCCCAGCGTGCCAAGGGTGGGCCAGGCCCGGCACCTGAACCCAAATAATTGGGAGGGGAAACCAAGGCACCAGCGGCAAGAAAGGTGGTTGGGGAGGAGATTGGGCCGAGAGGCACCACAGGACCCAGTTCACTGGAGTCAGGGTTCAGGATCTGCTCGGGGAGGGGTGGGGGAAGAGAGAAGGCGCCTGCCTTGCGCACAAGTCCCACTCGGCGTGGGCGCTCCCTGGAGACTCATTGAGAAAGACACCAAAAGGACTCCGGATTTGGATTGAGGGCAAACGCGGAGCCCAGGCAGACTGCCGCCTCCAGTCCACACTCAGAACTCCTGTCTTCCATTCAGCACTTGCTGCATGAGAGGAGCCCGCCCCGGGACAGTCTCCCTGTGGGCCTACTGGGTGCTGGGCTGTGTCCTCACCAGTGTCACCTGCTCCTGCAGCTCCTCCATGTGCTCCAGCACTGCGTTCTTGGTCTCGGTGTCCTCCAACAGTGTTCCCACATCAAAAACGTTGTCCAGGTACGCTTGGATCTGCACCTGCAGCTTGTCACTCTCCGTGAGCCGCAGCCTCTGTCCCCAGACAGCAGGGGTACGGTGAGGTCGGGGGGTGGGGGTGGGGGAGGCTCTCCAACCACCACCACCGCCGCCAATACCCAGAGGAAGGTACCTGGGCTCTAGTTTGCTTTTTGTTTTTACTGGCATAATTCACATACCGCACAATTCACCGTTTTAAGGTGTGTTATCTCTTTCCTAGAAGCCGAGGAAACTGGATACTAAGTTAGGGTTTCTTTCCCATGATCTCTGGGGCTCATGAGTCTACTTCCTGTTTCTATGGACTTAGTCATTCTGGATCTCTCTCTCTCCTTCCTTCCTTCCCTTCTTCTGCTTCTATTTGCTTTCTAGTTTTGTTTTGTTTGTTTGTTTCCAGACAGGGTCTTGCTGTGTACCTCTGGCTGTCCTAGAACTAGCTCTGTAGGCCTCAAACTCACAGAGATCCACCTGCCCCCTGCCTCCCGAGTGCTGGGATTAAAAGTTTATGCCACCACTGCCTGGCAACATTTCTTATTTTCAAAAGTCATATAATCAGGATATTTGATGTGTATGTATGTGTGTGTGTGTTCCTCTGTGAGTTACACACATCATATGAATTCAGGTGTCCTCAGAGACCAGAAGAGGACATCTGATCCCCTGGAACTGGAGTTAGAGGAGGCTGTGAGCCACCAGACAAGGGTGCTGGGAACTGCCAAGGGTCCCAGGTCCTCTGCAGAGGTAGTAAGTGCCCTTAATCATGGCATCATCTTTCCGGCCCTTTCTTCAGACTCTTGCATCTGGCTCCTCTCTTCTTTCAAGGCTCAGCGATGCTGAAGCTGGTGTCAGACTACACATCTTTGTACCAAAACCATCATATTCTACCGTGTGGCTTTCCCAGCCTTGCCTCCTCTTCTTACCATTGCCTTGTCCTAGCCTTAGGAAATCCAATCCCAAAGGCCTCACTCCCGCAGAAAGCCTCCCAGAGGACCCAGGCAAGAAGCTGTGACTTCTCTGCTCACAAGCTCCTCTCTTCCCACTTCTCAAGCCCCAGACCTCCAGACGGAGCCAGCTCCCTTCTGCCCAGTATCTCTGGGCTCCTCCCCATCAGCTGGAGCCAGAGCACCTGACGGAGCTGATGCTCCTGGGTCAGGCCCAGAGCCACCCGAGTCTGTTCCAAGACCTCGATGGCAGATGTTATACTGGGCACCCACTGGGAACCACATATTCGGAGTCTTTATCACCTCTGTGACAGACAGGAAAGCGAATTCAGCGGGATGAACAGATGTGTGAAGGCCACACAGCTAGCAAGTGGCAGAGGTAGGATTCTGTTTATTTGTGGGGTTTTTTATCTTGGGGTGGTGGGTAGGGACAGTGATGCCCAGACTGGACTTGAACTAGAGGTCCACCTGCCTTAGCCTCGCGTGTGATATGATTGCTGGTATGTGTCACCAAGGCCAGCTCCCAGAGCCAGGATTTGAACTCGAGACCTGATAACTACATACCACACACGTAATAACTACATACCCCAAAGTAGAGGTACTTCAGTCAGGAGGTTAGGGGTGGTGTGCTGGGCTCACCTCCAAGTACAGGTCCAGACCCAGGTGAGTGAATTCATATTGCAAAAAGACCCGGAAGTTCATGTTTTCCACCGAGTGTACCACAATGTTGATGAACTGCATGCAAGCCACCTGGGGGCCGGGAACACCAGAAAATCTAAGGACTTCCAGGTCAGGGATGCTGACATCTGCCGCTTCCCACTTGTCCCCAAGCCTCCCTCCCTCTGTACAGTTTGCATTCCACTAACCCAGTCTTGCAACATCCAGGTCCCCTTGGTCCAGTCCCCACTCCTCTGACATCCACCCTTCCCCACTGACAGTCAACGGTCGCTTTGCTGCAGGACACCCAGGTCCTCAGCTGCTCCTAAGCATGCAACCGGGCCCAGCCAACCTTCAGCCCCCAGGGCTAGCTCCAAGCTCACCATGAAGTCAATGTTGCTATCTTCATTCCGGAAGTATTCCATCAGCTTTTCAAATCGGTGCTGCTCCCCGCACACCTGGAGAAGGAGGATGGCGGACACAAAATAATGGGTCACACGCCTCCTGTGCCATCTTTTGGCTGCTGTCCTTGTGCCCTTGAAGGCTACTCTCCAATTTCATCCAAATCTGGCCATGTCAGTCTTCTGCCTCAAATACTGCTCCCTCTTGGTCTCTCACACCCTGCTGCTGGCCTTTGGGTGCACTGTTCTAACCACCCAGTATGCTAGCCAAGAGAACCACCACGCCCAGCTCCCCAGCTTCTTCATAGCTTTGCCCGGTCAAGTTTCATCTTCTCAAAGAGGCCTTCCCTACAACCCTGTGGCAACCCTTTCCCCAAAAAACGTTTAACTTTGGTTGGTTGGTTTTGTTTTTGTTTTGTAAGGCAGGGTTTCTCTGCGTAGCCTTGGCTGTCCTGGAACTCACTCTGTAGTCTAGGCTGGCCTCGAACTCACAGAGATCCTCCTGCTTCTGCTTTCCGAGTGCTGGGACTAATGGTGTGTTCCACCACTGTCCGGCCAGTTAGCATTTCCTAATACTACATAAGTTGCTCATTTGTTACCTGTTTCCTGCCTTTTCATTATAGGTATGTGTATGTGTGTACGCATGCGTGCGCATATATGTGCATGTATGTGTGTGGAAGCCAAAAATCGACCTCAGGTGTTCCTCAGGAGCAAATGCATCTTCTCTGTTGTTGCCTTTTAAATATTTACCTGTCATAGGTGTGTGCCTGCAGGAATAAATGTGTAAAATGTACCTGTGGAGTCAGGTGATGGTGGCGCACGCCTTTAATCCCAGCACTTGGGAGGCAGCGGCAGCAGGGGCTCTGCGAGTTCGAGGCCGGCCTGGTCTATAGAGCGAGTTCTAAGACAGCCAGGGCTACACAGAGAAACCCTGTCCCGGAAAAGTAAAGATAAAAATGTGCATGTGGGTGCAGAGGCCCAGAGGACAGTGGCCACCCTGGAACTGATGTCCTAGGTGGCTCTGAGGCTCCTGATGTAGGTGCTGGGCCACCGAGCCCCACCTCCAGCCTCACGCCTGGTTTGTCTCTGTGGCCTGGCGCACACAGAGTAGCCTCTGCTGGCTGCCACTCCAGAGAGAACGGCCTACCATTGCCTCCCCAGTGCTGGAGTTAAAGGCACATGCCACCAAATCTGCCTCTATTTAAGACTTCTTCATTTTATTTTAGGTACAAGAGTGTTTCCTTGCATGCATATGCAAGTGGCTGGGTACCTGCAGAGGTCAGAAAAAGCTATCAGATCCCGCTGGAACTGGAGGTATGGAGTTGCCACGTGAGTACTGGAATCAATCCAGGGTCCTTTGCAAGAATGAGTGCCTTTAACCACTGAGCCATCTCTACAGCCTCTTGGATCGTTCTTGTTTTTGTTTTTGTTGTTCTTGCAACGTGGTCTCACTATGTAGCCATGGCTACATGATATTCATAAAGGTCCTCCTGCCTCTGCCTCTGCCTCGAGTGCTGGGATTGAAGGTGTATGATACGGTGCCTGGCTTTTTTTATACGGGCTCAGAGAGTCAGGTCCTAGTGCTTGTATATCGAGTGCTTTATTGGATGAGGACTATTAATCCAGCCCTCCATGCCTTTTCATTGCTTTTGCTCATGTATGTGTCCTAAGAGCCTGCTCCTGTGCCTGGGACATAGTCGGCCCTCAGTAAACTTTCATGAATGAATGAATGAACATATCCAGACACCGACCCCTCCCCTTTTTTTCCGAGACAGAGTCTATGCTGGGCTGGATTTCGTTTTGGCATGAATTTGTCTTTGTTTTGGTAGTGTTTTTGTTTTGTTTGGGGGGTTGGCTTTGGTTTTGGCTTGTCTTGTTTTTGTTTTCTCGCTTAGGCTGGTCTTGAATTCACTGCGTAGCCACTGATGACCTTGGCGTCCTCCCGGCTCTACCTTGAAAATGCTGGCATGACAGCCTGTATGAACCTGCTTGGTTCATATCCAATCTTAAAGACTGGTTGATTTTCTGAAGGCAGGGAAGCACACCCACCTTTCATCCCAGCACTCAGAGGCAGAGACTGGAGGATCTCTGTGCGTTCAAGGCCAGCCTGGTCTACACAGCAAGTTCCAGGCTAGCCATTGCTGTAAAGTGAGAGCCTGTCTTTAAAAAAAAAATTATTATTATTTTTTTTTTAATGAATCTGTGTATGTGCCTGCAAGTGTGTGCATGGTGGCAGGGGAGGAAGTTGAATGTGCCTGTGGGCACATGCAGAGGCCAGAAGGCGGCGCTGAGGGTCCTCCTCTATCACTCCGCCTCCTTCTACAAGGTCTCTGCTTGCACCCGGGGTTCCCATTTCCTCAGCAAGGCTGGCGACAGGCAAACATCAGCACGCATCCTGGGTCCTCTCCCTTAACACTTGGCTTACAGACACGCACACGACACTCGGCTCATTACATGGGTTGCTGGGATCCGAACTCAGATCCTCACAGTCCTGCTTAACTGCCGAGCCGTATTTCCAGCCCTGTCGTAGCCAGTTTTATCTACCATGAACTTCCTATAAATTTGCGGACCGGAGCTGTCGACCCTAGGGCGTCAGGATGGGCAAGGCTGAGAGGCTGAAACTCAGTAGATCCCTCAGTTGTCCTTGGCACTCTAGATCACTGGTTCTCAACCTGTGGGTCGCGACCCCCACACAGAGATTGCATAGCAGATATTTAAGATTCATAATAGTAGCGAGATTACAGTTACGAAATAGCCATGAAATAACATGAGGAGCTATATTAAAGGGCTGCAGCAGTCGGAAGGTTGAGAACGACTCCTGCCTGACTATACCTTCTATTCTGAATTTCCTCTGTATTTCCCAAAATGCCCACCCTGTGCCTCCGGATGCTCTATAAGAGGTCACAATTTCTGGCAGCCACACTCCAAGCAGTACCAGAAGGGCAAAAAGGTTTGGGATGGGGATACCTCCTTGAAGTTATCAAAGGCTGCAAGAATGATGTCGTGTCCTCCCCGCACGAGGCACACGGCGGCCAGCAGCTCCAGCACCAGGGCCTTGGTTCTGGGAAGAGAAAGGGGAGGTTAGTCCCCACAGCACGGTGGGCATGGGCTGGAGGACAGGGGATCTGGGGTGTGGTGAGCCTGGGCAGAAGACCTAAGGAGACGGGACAGAGTTTGCAGGGATGGAAGCAGGAACCCAGTTAAGGGGGAGAGCCCTCACCTGGGGTTCTTGTTGTTAAGGCTCAGAGCGATCTCGTTGACACAGGCCGGGTGGTTCATAACGAGGCTGAAGCCAGACTGGGGAGAGAAGAGAGGCTGGCACCTCCAGGCAGGTCCCCAAGACTGCCAACGTGGCCGTCGTGGTCTGCGCTATGTTGTTCCGGCCTCCAGTGCCCAAAGCTTCCCAAAGCTTAGGAAGTTCCTCAGAACCAGCCGTTACCTCTTTTTAAGAAGCCAGGCCCTAGCCCCCTTTTAAAATTCATTTGTCTTTTTCAAAAGCCAGTGCCAAACACCCTGGACATGACAAGGCCATGCAGGCATACCCACCCTTTTGATATAGGACAAATACAAAGTTGTCATCTAAGACATCAGACAACCATGAAATAGTTACTTAAAAAAAAAAAAAAAAAAAAAAAAAAAAAAAAAAAAAGGTACACACACATCAAAATCCCATAACGTTTTAAGAAGTTTACAAAGGCTGATGAAGAAGTGGAGCTAGAGCAGCTGGCTCTCCTGATGCCATAGCCAAGCCCATTCCCCACTACCCAACCCTCCTTGATCCCCATCTGAGGCCCATGCTTTTCCCCAGCCACAGCCAAGGCTGTTTCAGCAGAACTGACATGAAGGCATGAAGGCTTCCCCTCAAAGCTTACCAGCCTCAGGACCCCCACCAAAGCCCAGGCCCCAGGCTTCCCCAGGAAGGTTCCAGGGCAGAGTGACACACAGTCTTAGAACATCAGCAGCTGGCACAGGCCCCCATGGGGACGAGCCAGCTCCCGAGGCCCCAATCCCGTGCCACCAGCTGACCTGGTAGTTCATGATGGCTCTCAGGCACATGATGCACACGTGGACATCATCCTTCTGGCTGACGATTCGGGAATTCCTCAGGGTCTTCCTACTGTGGGCGGGGGTCAGCCTGGTGGATGTGGAAGAGGCAAGAGGGTCAGAGCCCCCAGTCCCCAGCTTCCTGCTCTCCACACTAGTAAGGTACCCTTTGGAGCGAGGGGGACATATCCGAAAACATATCTAGGCCACTACTGTTTCCTATCTACCTGACCCAACTGGCAAGCTGAAGACAGCCCTCCTCAGGGTCTGCCATGCTTTGGGGGAGGTAATGAGGGAGGGTCAAAGAAGCAAGGGCCCTTACAAAGACTTGTTTTTTCAAGGGGCTACTGTGAGCCAGGCATGGTGGTGCGCGCCTGTAATTCCAGTCTCTGGGAAGTTAGGGCAAGAGGATCGGAGCTCAAGACCAGCCTTGGCTATATAATAGAGATTGTAAGGCCTAGGTTACATGAGAGCCTGTCTCAAAAAAGAAAGAAGGGAGAAAGGGAAGAAGGGAAGGGGGGGGAAGCCGGGAGGGAGAGAGGAAGGGAGGGAAGGAGGGAGGGAAGCCAGGAGGGAGAGAAGAGAGCTGTTTTGTGAGTGGAAAGCCCACCAAGGATAATGATGGACGAAGCTTGGGAGCAGCTCGACCCCAGTAATGTCTCCACAAGGTGGCACTCACAACCACTTGGCCTTCCATCTTGAGAGACAGACTAAACCCAAAGTGCCTAGAGTCAAGAACATGCCAGCTTACCTAGGAGGGAAATATTTAATCTCCCTGTGCTTCTTATGTACGTGCTTATGCAGAAACACTTTACCCACCAGGGAATCTCCCCAGCCCCCGCCTTGTTCTCCTGAGGCAAGGTCTCTCACTGGGACCCGTGCTCAACAATCAGGCCAGCCGGGTCCGGCCACCGAGCCCCCAGGGCTCTTCTCGTCTTTGCCTCTCCAGTGCTGGGATTGCAAGCACACACCTCTGTACCCAACGTTTTACGCGTGTGCTAAGGACTGAACTCAGTTCTTCATGCTCACAAGGCAAGCATTCTGCTGACTGAGCCATTTCCTCCGCCTCAGCAGCACCTTCTTCCCGGGCTGGGTGGGATTACGTAATAAGCTCCAGCCCGGCACCCAGTGAGGAGTATACTGAGCACTCTCTATACTACTCTTGCCCCCACCCACATACACACACACAAAAAAAAAATTTGAGGTTTTCATTTTTGTGGAGCTGCTAACCATATCCACACGTCAATCCTCTTGACGGCTCTGTAGCTTTTCCAGCCCCACCAGCCGGCCCCACCCCTTCACCTGAGTCCTCCCCGCTGCTTGCCACACCATCCTTTCCTATCATGGCTCAAATATGTCTCAGTCTTTGTTCCTGCGGCCCCCTCCTTGTTCCCATCACCTATCCATCTGTCACAGTTGGACATAATGTCACCTCTTCTGGGATGTCTTCCTAGTACCGGCAAGCAGTGGGCGACTCCCTCTTCAGAGATGCAGATCACATCTCTGTGATTATCTGTCACAGAATTATCTGTCTTGTGGGCACTTATTATAAAGATGTGCTATCTACTAAGGTATTTACTGTCTAAAAAAATGTTTGCTAGCTAGGTGTGGTGACACACACCTTTCATCCCGGCACTCTTGGGAGGCAGAGGCAGGTGCAGCTCTGTGAGTTTAAGGCCAGCCTGGTCTACAAAGAGTTCCAGGACAGCCAGAGTTACAAACAGAGAAATCCCATCTTTTTTTTTTTTTTATCTCTTTAAAAAATGTTTGCTAAGTGAATTAATGAACAAGGAAAAAACATATTATGAGATACACACAAATATATATATATATACACATATATATATATATACACACATATATATATATATACACATATATACGTACATTTACATATAAAGATTTTTTAGGGTTGTGGAAATGGCTAGTTGGTTAAGTCTCTTGCTGTGAAAGCATGAAGACCCAAGTTCAAATCCTCAGCACCCATGTAAAAGCCATGCTTAGCTGGGTCGGCTCCAAGCTCACACACACATGCCCATACGCACACAAACAAATAGGCATATATTTGGTCCCTCAGACCCAACCCAGGGAGCTGATGTGCCAGGGTCATCTCCTCCCCTTTCCCTGTATCCCAACAAGATGGCAGGATGTCCTGTGTCGGGATGAGGAGACCAGTCCTCAGCAGCTGAACTCCGGGGCATCAGCTCACTGCTCTTCCAACCCGCCACCCCACACAGTCAGCCCAGCATGCACCTGCCCCCCCCCCCCGGGTGACTACGTACCGGGGAGAAGGGGGGCACCTGGAGGCCGCATGTGAAGAAACAAGGTGTTAGATCCTGCCAACCTCAAAGCCCCCTCTTTATTCCAGTCCCCCTCAGGTGCTAGCCTCCACCTGAAGACTTAACACATTTGTGTCCAGAAGCCAAGAAAGTCTCTGGTCCCCCACACTGACCAACAGCTCCCGCCAACCCTCGAGGTCCCGGTTAGATGTGGGAGTGTGTGGAGGTCTGCTCTACATTCTCCTGTCATCCCATCCAGGGCCCCTCGTACTTGATGGTCAGGCGACTTTTGGGCACAGATGAGGGTGGCGCCTTGCTGAGGTCTTCCATGGACTGTTCCAGGGGCTTGGTGCTCTTCTCTGTACTAGAGGCCACACTCTCTGTACTTTCCATGTCATACCTGGAGATTGATGCAAGGAGCTTGGAGGCTTCTACCACTGGGGACACTTTAGAGAGGGGACAGAGGGACATACAAGGCAAGAGAGACTTGCAGGACAGACTAGTTCAAGAGGGAGAGGCTGTGTTTATTCGTGGCTCTCGTTTTTGCTTCTTGAGACAGGTTCTCACTCTGTAGGCCAGACTGGCCAGGACTCACAGAGATCCACCTGTCTCTGCCTCCCAAGTGCTGGGATTAGAGATCTGTACCACCATGCCTCAGCTCATCTATGGCTCTATGCTGGGCACAGTGAAGGGAGAAGGAACGTCCCTCCTGGGCACAGGTCTCCAAAAGAACCACTGCCCAGAGCCAAATCCAACTTTCCTGGGACAGGGGAAGAGGTCAGTTCCTGTTCAGAGTAGTATCTGAGGCCCAGGACGCCTGAGATCAGGACTCTGAGAGGCAGCATGAGGGCTGGGGTCAGGAGCTTACGCAACAGAGCACTGGGCAAAGGCCAGGTACTCGAGCAGGACATCCAGGCCTCGGTTCTCTTCATTGAGGAACTCCTGCACCCACCTGCAAGGCACGAGGTTCTCTGAGTTGCAGAAAGGCTTCTGCCCAAGCGAGCAACGAGCAGGCAAAGCAAAAGCCCTTGAGTGCCCTTGCCCTAGAACATAACACCATCCCCCACCCTCAGGAAACCCAGCGATACCAGGGGATGCTGTGGGCTGGAGCAGGACCCACAGCCTGCTGTGTGCAAGGCCCAGCACAGGCAGCAGGAGAGGATGGAAATGGTCCACAGGACTGGCCTGCGGTGGAGGGGCTGGAAAGCCCCAGAGGCTGCTGGGAGGTAGAGTCTTTCGAAGCTCACCCAATGTGGTTTGTCCTCAGGGACGTCTCCAGCTCCCGCAGCACCTGTGTAGACTCCTGAACTCGCCTCTTAAACTGGGGGCCAGAAACAAGGAGACTGTGGGCGGGGCCCAGGCTCCCACAGTCCTGAGGCAGCAGCCAGAAGCATCCGCCCCCACCACGCATTCAAGGCCTTTCACGTTTGGTCTCCCCCACCACCTCCACACACCTGCACAGTGGAATGAACGCTCTGGGCTGCACCCCCCCCCCCCCCCCCCGCAACAGGGATGGTATAGCCACACATGTTTGAAGACACAGGGTGCACAGACGTACCTTCACGCAGAGATACAGTGTGCATACACACAGAGACATACTGGATAGGTGCACATCAAACACAAACATCCACACAGGAGACCCCGGATACGTACACATGGGTGCCTACCTACACACCCATTTGTTTATGTATGGGGCACACACATAGTCATTCATTCATTTTCTCCCCCTCTCTCTTTCTCCTATGTGTGGTCTTGGGGATACATGTGAGAACAAATATACCTACAAACTCCAAAGTACACACACACACCTGCCATATACCACAAATCTATGCCTGAACACACAGAGCGCACATATGTACACACCCAATACAAACACACACAGGAAGGCCCATGTAAGCACATGCAAGATATACACATGAGTGTATGGGAGGGCCTGCCTGGGGTGCTCAGCCCCCTCTAACCAATTTACGCATGAGCACTTATACGTGAACTCACACGAGACCACAAGAAAGACACACACAGCTGCTCCAGCTGTTTGGAGGGTGCAGGATAGGGAGGGACAGAATAGAAAGGAAGATATATACCCCCAGATTGGACATCCAATCGGCTGCTACCTTTCGGCTGACTCCGCCAGTATCCAGGTAGCTCTTCAGCTTCTGGATGTAGGCTGCAGGGGGATTCTTGACTTGAAACCGCTCCTGGGGAGGTGAGAGGGGTGCACAGAGAGCCAGTCACAGCTGCCCAAAGACCACTGGGTAGTTCCCCCGCCCCGAGCCCCCTTCTCGGCTCTGACTTGAGGTTTCGGGCTGTCTTAAACGGCTTCTGGGGTACCAAAGGCACAAACTTTGGACAGGTGGAAGACCTTAGTCCCAGGCCTGGTTTGTGCCTTTCCTGGGGCCAGTGGGATACAGGCCAGTCCTGCCACTGGGCTAGAGTGGAAAGTTCAGGCAGCAGGCAGCTCCCTGGCAGGTAAACACCCCATCTCCAGGACGGCTGTCTCTCTGTTTAGATAGGTCCCTGTGTGCTTTCCTTATATTTCACTGCCCGAGTCCCTCCCCCAGAAGCAGGGACCACAGAAGAGGCATGCCCCACCCCAAGGCTCTTATCCTGCCCAGCCCCAAACACTCAGGTGTGCCTAGACACCCTCTTCCACCTTCTCCTCTCCAGTCTCTGAGCCCCTCTGACAAGCCAGGCAGGTTCAACAGGGACGCCAACTGCAGAACCTTTACAGCACTCCCAGCTCTGCCCTGGCCCAGCCTTACCAAAATGGATGCCCAGCTAGGTATGTCCCAACCCAGTCCATTAGTAGAAGGCTTTGCTAGGTCCTTGAGTTGGGGGAGGGAGTTCTCCTCTCTCCAACTCCTTACACCTTCAGCTTCCAGGCCTCGGCTTGAAAGCAGCACCTGCCTCTTCTTGATGGTCCTGGAGGAGGCAGTCTCCACCCTATTCCACCCATGTACTGGCCTCAGCAGCTACAGGAATGAGCTGCCCAGTGAACCCAGGGCCTGGCCTGAGCTCTGACACAGCATTCTGACTGCTCGTGGAGACAGTTGCTTGGCTGTGTCTCCTGACCTCAGAAGAAAAAAGGCAGGGACCCTACTCCTTTCTCCCCGTCTACTTGACTAAATGCAGGGATAGTTCCTCTTTTCCTCAGCCCAGGGTAGAAGAGTCAAGCCACTGGGCACAGAGACCCATGCCTGTATGTTATCCCAGTGGTCCGGAGACTAAGGCAGAAGGAACGTGAGCTTGAAGGCAGTCTGAGCTGTACAGAAAGACTCAGTTTCAGAAACAAAAACCCAAGCATTATGGACACAGCTAGAGGTAGGCCGACCGCTTGCTTCACACATATGAGGCCCCAGGTTCAGTCCTCAGCAGCCCAGAGCAGCCAGCGAGGGCAGTCACCTCCACTTCTCCAGGACATGTCCTGCCGATGACCCCTCAAGTTTCTGATCAGGTCTTGCAAAGGAGGATAGAGCCGGGTACGGGGGCCCCCAGCTACCTCAGCAGCAGGCAGGCCCCTCTCCTGCCAGCTCCTCCAGAGCAGGGTGCACCAAGAGCCGAAGGCAAGGGCAGCTGAGCCTTCGGGCACCCACCTGGTCACAGATGAGCTCCCACTTCTTCTCATTGTCATACTGGCTCAGCAGCTGGACCTTGTCTGGAGGCAAGTTCATACAGTTCTGGGGAGGCAGAAGACAGAGACACCTGAGCCCAGACCTCCAGAACAACCAAGAAGGAGAGATTGGGCGTCTTCAAACCTCTGAAGGGCTCCAGCACAACCAAGGACAGAATGGGCATCTTCAGGAACTCCGCAGTGCTCCCTCAAAGATGCACTGTCCTCTCACCCTGGCAGATAAGCAGTGCTGTCCACTGAGAAACCCGAGGCCCAGAAAGGTAGGCCGCCTTCCCCAAGGTCCCAGGGTCCTGGAGCTCGGAAGGGTCCCAGGGTCTGAATCCAAGTCTGACTGAACCCTGCCACCATCCACATCACCTCCTGGCACATCCGGCACAAGGCAAGTGTGTGGCATTCCTCAGGGACCTCCCACACCTCTAGGCTCTAGTTTACTGGCTGGAACTAAGGAGACATGATCGCTACCCCCTACCCAAGAGAGGAGCCAACAGGGAAGCCATCTGCAGACAGGCCTGGCCGACAGCTGCCACCAGGGCCTTATTCCCACATGTCACCAAACACCTCATGTGCACACACTAGGCCCAGGTCACCAGTGGGTTGAAGGGACTTAGGGCAGCCTGTCAGCCAGCAGGAAGTTCCGGGAAGGATGGGAGGTGGGAGGATTTGAACGGTAGAAGCCATTCCACCGCAGAATAGGCACAACGCTGGGCCTGTGGTGCTGGTAGCTCAGGCTGGGACTCTCCCATGCACCCCAGGACCTAAGAGAAATCAGCAGTACCCTCCTTGGGTCCTGCTTGAGGATTCAAGCAGGTGCTGCCGGAAGCAGGGGTCTCCGTGTTCCCAAGGCCTATCAAGCCTGCCTAACAGACCCAGAAAACAAGGCCAGTTCACCCCAATTTAGGAAATCTCAAGTATGAGGTTTCAAGTATGAGGGGACCTAACTATATGTCAGTCCCCCAAAGCCAGTTCTTGCCCTCAGGGAGTTTCCGGTTTAGCCTGGGTCTCTGCTGTGGATATGGGAGTCCCCACGGAGCCCAACCCAAAGCTTGGGAGTCATCTGACACCCACTCTGGTAGTTCAGGCTATCCACTCCCTGACCCCTGGCTCTAAGAAGAGACCATAACTGGAGCAGACAGGGTACCACACCCACTCAAGACTCCTCAGCTAGCTTCCTCTCTTGGGGGGCAGGGTTAGGTCTGGGGCTCTGGCCAGACCTTACCCCAAAATCACTGCCTTGACTCATCCTCGGAAACAGGAAGTTGGTATTATCAGCCCCCATTGCCTAAGCTTTCCGGCTGGGGCCCTACTTGTGAGGTGAAAACTGCCCACCCACCATACTCCAGGGCCAGCTGGGGGCTGAGCTACGTCATCCCTGTCCCCATTTCGAAAGCAAGTCTGGACTGAGGACGCTATGCTAGGATGCCTCCTACAGCATCACAGTCTTCCCAAAAGGGGTCTGAAGACTGTGGGGTGGGGCCTACTCTGCTTCAGGGGGCTTGGGCAGCTACTTTTCCTCTCTGTCTGTCTGTCTGTCTGTCTGATCTGTCCCCATCCAACAGAGACAGAGCTGGGAGGGGGGTGGGGGCTTAGGTACAGCAAAGCCCCTGGAAAGAGGAAGTAGGCGGCCAAGCCTGCCAGGATGATGGAGCTGGGGCCAGCTTAGAGATGGAGATGAGGAGGACGCTGAGCTCCGAAGTCTGAGCCTCAGAGGGGCAGCCTGTCTGTCATGGGATGTCTGAGTCCTCATTAACCTTGGAGACCTGCTTGGCTCTGGAATGGCCCAGGAGCCCTTCTAATTTCAATAAGCAAGCGCCCTCACCTCCATGCATTTGGTGCACAGACTGACCTCTTGTCCTGACCACCACCATCGTTAGCACTGTCATTATGCCCATCTCACAGATGACAGGTAACAGATACTCAGAGTTACCTTATGAAGCCAGAAAGAGAGGGGGCAGGAGCTGACTGGCTTCGAGCCACAGCCCTGGTCCATACCCCTCGGGGCCACTCCAGAGTTAGTGCTAGGCACAGACAACCTCTGCATGGAGCAGCCTGATGTGCCTGTCTCAGCAACAGCAGAAGGCAGGGTGCCCCTCGCCCTTCCCTACCTGGGACTTTTCAGGCCCCGGGCCCACGTGCCCGCCTGCCAGCCGAGCTAAATTTAGGCTCAGAAATCAGAAATAGCTCTGACAGCGCTGAACACTCATTAGCAGCTGTGGCTGTGGCCCACCAAGGAGCCGGGTATCCAGGGAGCGGGAGACAGGCCAGCAAATGCCACTCACTCAGGGTGAGAGGCAGGGCCACCCTCAAAATGGAAGTCAAGCCCCTCGCCGGGGTCTTTAGGAAGGAGGTAGGACAGTGAGCAGGGGCGAGGGTAAACAAAAGAACGGATGACGCCGAGGAGCTAGGACAGGAAGGGCTAGGCAGCCCACAAGCGTGAGTGGTACATCTGCCTCCCGAGAGGATGGAGGGCAGCTGGGATGCAGAAGCTAAGTTCAAAGATCCGGGCTCTGTGCCCACCTAGTCTGACAGCTTCTTGGCCTGTCAGCCTCGGCTTCCTCCTCCATAAAATGGGCACAGGCTGACGTGCCTCGTACTCCCAGAGTGCCTGGGAATATTGAGAAGCTATGTTTTGGTATAATATCCTCTGCTGACCCATCACCAGGAAGAAGCATCTCATGAATGTTGGGCGCAGGAGACAGGAAAGGACCCCAGAAGACTTCAAGGTGGGGGGGGGGCATGGTAAGTGGGCAGAAGATGTTATGAAAACAACTTGATTGCCCAAAGCTGGCTCCAAAGCTTGGCCAAGCCTGTACTGGCCCTTTCCCTATTGTCCTGTTGCTTCAGGTGAGAAAGCAGATGGAATTGATTGGATGGGGAGTGTCCACCCAAAGGAGCTAACACTGGACATTAGGCACAGGCCGATTATAATCCCGACACTCTGGAGTCTGGAGGCAGAGACAGGAAGACAGCCCCAAGCTTAAGGCCAGACTGGACTACACAGGGAGACAATGTATACAAACAAGAGCAGGATGGTAGCACACGCCTTTAATCCCAGCACTTGGGAGGCAGAGGCAGGTAGATCGTTCTGAGTTCCAGGCCAGCCTGGTCTGCAGAGTTCCAAGACAGCCAGGGCTGTACAGAAAAACCCTGTCTCAAAAACCTCCCAAAATAAATACACAAATAATTAAATGGAACTGATTTCATTCATATTCCTACCAGACTGTGTGGGGACAACCCTCTCTCCCTTCTCTGACCTCCCGAGACTCCAGAGACAGACCCCAGCTGCGGTTTATCCAGCCTCTTGCAGACACATGCTCTGAGTCTGCAATCCTGGCCCTGCCTGCTTTGTTGACTTCTGAGACACTGTCCCAGGAGACCCAGGGCTCTGGCCACATCTGGACACCGCCACACCCTACAGTTTCACTTTCAATTCGCACAGAATCTAGACCCCATCCCACCGCCCCATACTTCCCCCACAGCCCTGCCCCTGAGGTCCAGGAGGCTCCTGAATGTGGACCCCCAATTCCAGGGTCAGGTAACCCAGAGCTCAGCGTGACAGGTCTAAATGCCAAGGCTACCTCCACGCCCATCTGTCCTCTCCCCCCCCCCCCCGGCCTCTGTGATGCCTCAACCTTGGCATTCAAGCTGTCTGCACATATGCAGAAACAATCAGTGGTGTCCGTCACTTAAAATCCCGGAAACAGATTTGCAGGGGCTCTTACAAGCAGTCCCAGGCTTAGAGGAGGCCATGCCATCAACCACCCTGCATCAGGGGCTGAGAACTCCCAAAGTTACCAGTTTCTCTTATCTAAGTTCCAGAGTCCCCAGAGGAGGGACAAAGGTCAAAGAGAGTGGGAGCCAGGACGCCAGACCTTGCTGCCCACATAATCCAGGCTAGCAAGAGAATAACAGCAACATTAACAACTCTCCGATACCACTTCTCTGGCCTCACTTCCCTTCTAAGTATTGCAGACCTATTATCAGTTCATGTAAACATCAACAAGCACACTGTCATAACCCCATCTCCCAGATGGGAAACTGAGGCAAAGAGATACTAAGTCACTTGCCCAGCTGACAACGTGGTTTAAAAAACTTGGGGTCTGGTAAGGGGGTACTGGGGTCCTGGCTGCAGGCGGCCCTAGCCCCAATCCCCCATCTGCAAAACCAGGAACAGCCTGAGTAGTTTCCTGCCACCCAGCACCCTACACTTCCTGTTGTTGCCCATGCTGGGTTGTTACTCACTGGGGGAACCCCCCCCCCAGCACACTATCGGTGTAGGGAAGTAGAGGCCTCCCACCCCCTCCTCCTGTGCACACCGCTGCTGCCGCCACCGTTAGCACCCCGCTACTCCACCCAGCAGGAGAGCTGGGCCCTCCCTCTGGTGGTTTCCGGCCACCAGGCAGTTCTCGAGTCTAGGCCTCATTGCCTCTAACCTGTGCAATGGCAAGGAGGCCGCTGAAGAGCTAAGGGTGACTCAGTAATGTGACCTGGGATGTTCCTAGTGGGGGAGGGGCGGAGGGCCTCAGGGTGGAGAGGCCCAGGACAGCCTCCCTTGCTCACTGTAGGGAGTATTTCCTGACACTCGCCGCTTGTCAGGCTCTGTAGTGAACCCTGTACCTCAGCAACCCTAGGAGGCCGCCATATGCCTATTATCGTCTTTTTACACCTAAGAAAAACTGGAGCTCGAAGATGTGAACTTGCCCAAGGTCACCCATGAAATAAGCAACCGGGATGAAACTCATCCGCCAAACTGCACGGTCCCCCAACTCCCGCCCCTTCAAAGGCAGGGAGAACCAAGCAAACCTTGGGGAATCTTGTGTTCCCAAGAGAAATGCAGAGGTGGCCCCAAGGGCACCTGCTCCTGCTCGTCTCATCCAGCCCTTTGCCATCTGAGCCCAGATGCCACCGTGAATCATGCCCACCCCATCCCTGCATGTGAGGTCAGCATGTGCTAGCTGGGCCTGCTGGGAATGTCAGCCACGGCCTCTGCCCAACCCAACATCTAACCACAAGGCTACGCCCCGATGAGATCCCCTGTGGCGGAGACAATCCAGAGGTGGGAGACACAGAGCGACACCCCAAGCACTGAGCAGCAAGGAAGACCTGCCCAACCTGCTGTTGACCATCACCATCAGTGGGAGGGAGAACTCTAAGGGCCTGTACTCTGCTTGGAGCTGTCCTGACTGCTTGATAAAGTACCCAGGTCTTGGATAAGAGTAGGGACCCCTCAGTGAGCTAGACCCTCACCCAGCAATCTCCTCTCCCTATGGCACAGCCCTGCCTAAGTACAGGATCATGTCACACAGACGTCCCCGGGCACTTTCCGGTATTCCTTTACCCGAGGGCCGTCGGTAGATGCAGGGGTCCTGTGGCCAGCTGCATCCATAGCCCCGATAGCAGTCCTGGACAGGGTGGCTTGCCATCCCAAACTCTCACTCTGCGTGCCTCTCGGAGAAGACAGGGGGTTGCTGGAAGACACCCAGCCTTGGGCATGGGCGTAGGAGAGGCGAGAGAGCTCGGAGCCTGGCTGGCTGGTGTGTTCCCACCACCACAGCAGGCCTATGTAGTGGGGCAGCCATCGCTCCTCCGCGGTTGCTAAGGCAGCAGCCAAAACCCTGGCTCAACCTGCTCTTTCTCCCCACCCCCACTATAGGCAGGGTTCCCCCTCCTTCACAGCCTTCTTGGGAAAGTAGTATCCCATCACCCACCCTTTGTGGGAAAACATCTCTTTGCTCCCCTTGCCTGGCTGGTGGAAGTACCCCAAACCATAAGAAGACTGCTAGAGCAAAGAGAAGAGTTTGGGGAGTTGGGAATCCTACTCCCTGCCTGGAGATAAAGGGGCTAGGCTGAAATGAGAGGTTCCCTGGGGCCATGTGACTGGGGAACTCTGTTCCCCCATCAACACTGAGGAATCCATACCTTGGAGCCCCACAACTTCTGTTCATTTAGATGTCACCTAAAGACTGGCCCCAGGAGTGGGGTCACATGAAGCCACACCCACTAGGAGACTCTTGGGCCCACCAACTCTTTAGCCTTGGATAGCCTCAGGCAGAGGTCAAGGCTGTTCATCTAGGCGGGGCTCATGACCCTAAGGATGAGGGAACGAGAAAAGCCAGTTCTTAACCATGTGACCTGAGGATGGGTTCACTCACAGAGGACAACAAGGGACACACTGGGTTGGGGGGAAGGGGATCCTGTAAGGCACCCTGTGGGTGCTGCTCCCCTAGACTTCCACTAAGCCACCAAGACACTCTGGAAGATCCATCTCCTGGCCTCTGTCCATACCCCGCCGCTCGCTCTGGGGCTCCCCGCTGCTTTTTATGTCCACCCAGGGCAATCGAGGCCCGCCCTTGTGTCAGAACATCTCCACTTGACTTTTGGAATGCCCACTGGTCTGAATTCTTCTCAAGGCTCCTCCCCATTAGCAGGCATGACCAAAGACATAGACATGAGGGGAAAGATGGACCCACGGCACCCTTGTCAGACTGAACCCACCACTAAGTCAGGCTCCTCGGATGACCCCCTCCCCCACTTGCTCAGCTTGGCCAAGGTCTGGATTTGGGGAGAAGGGAGTTAGGGGCAGGTGGAGAGAGAGAGAGAGAGAGGGAGAGAGAGAGAAAGAAGTCCAAGGCTAGCCTGGTGTGAAATGCCCCTCAGACTCCCTGGGCCTTCCCCAATTAAGCACTTTTGCCTTCAGGCTCCTCCTGTGTCCTTCTGGAGGGGACAGGAGCCAGGATTCTCAGGAACTGTTGCCCCACTGGGACCACAGAGAGGACCTAGCAAGTCAGGCCTAATGAGTGGCTAGCCAGAGATGGGAAATGCTGTCTAGGAGGAGGTGCTGGGGACAGAAGGCCATCACTGCTGCCTCCCCTGGGCTCCCCACCCTCAGACCTGCAGCAGAGACTGGGAAATGCCTCTAGGAAACAGCCCTGTCTCACCCCTGTCACCCAGTGTCCAGCAAGGGCTGGCTAACAGTAGACAGACCACTGAAGGCAACCACCTACAGGAGAGGGCAGGAAAGAGTGCTGGGGTAAAGAGGGGGAAGTGAAAAAGAGTGGCCTTTCCCTTCCCTGCTTCTGTCTCCCCGCTTCTTAAGGACCCCTGACTGCGCTGGAGCGCCCACCCTATCAGAAACACTTTAACTGCTCCAGGCTCGACCTGAGTTGTTGGTTCCCTCCTCCCCAGAGGCCTAGGCTCCAGTTTTTCCTCCATCCCACCCTCCCCTGCCCCAATTTCCCAAAGCAGGTGACAGCCAAGGGGGAGGGGAGCCTTCCCGACTTTTGTTCCACCCCAAGCCAGAGTGACCAACCCTCCCTGACCCCGCCCTTGCGAAGCTTACTCCTTTCAGTGGTTAGGAGGGGGTGTCCATGATGAGGAGCTGAAAGCAACCATTCCGGGTAGGGGAAGGGGAGGGGATGATAAAAACACGAGCTGAGGGTCTGAGAGTCCAACTCCTGGGCCAGACACCAGAACAAACCGGGACTAAAGATCCCACTACGGCTTCCAGGAGGTTAAATTATAACCCCTTCCATCTTTGACCCTGAGGCACAGAAGGACGGGCGGGCGGGCGCTCCAGACCTGAACCCAGCAGCTGGGCCTGCGTGCAGCGGTGCCCTCTCCCACCCAACCTCACCAGAGACATGTTTGACACCTTTAGACAGCGGAGCATGGGGTGGGGGGTGGGGGCGGGGGGTCTCTTAAGAAGGCTCACTGGAGATGGCTGAAGAAAGTTTGTGGGGGGCGAAGAGGGAGTGCTAAGTCACTCCGAAAGAGGACACCGTCACTCCCACCCCCTGGAGGGGCAGCAGGTGGACCAGGGATCTCCAAGCGGCACCTGAGCCCCAAGAGGCGGGGACGCGTGCGGAGCCCCCGTCATCCCAGGCTTCTGGTGCGCACTGGGTCACACTCACCAAGACCCGCGTGAACCTCTCCTCCAGCTCCCCGGCCGCCGGCATCGGTTGCTTGGGGACGGCCGGCTGCTTCGGGGGCGACGCGGTAGGGCCCGCGGGCTGCTCGGCGCTGCCGGCCGCGTTGCCCATGGTGGTCCCCACCCAGCCGGCCAGGCGCCTCCAGCCTCGGAAATCCAGTTTTCCCAGGGGGTCGCGGACTAGGCTCCGGGAGCCGGGGGTGAGGGGGGAAGCGAAGGGCAGCGGTGGGTGGCGCGGCTGGGCTAGGCGGCTCTCGGCTCAGCGGCGCGCAGGAGCTGGGGCGCGGCGTCCCATCGCGGCGGCCCCGTCCGAGGGAGCGGGCGGCGAGCGAGGCTCGGGGAGGAAGTCGGGCTGCAGGCGGCCGGGGCCAGAGGGCTGGGCCGGGGGCAGGAAGCTGCGGCGCGGGCTCCCCCCTCGGCGATTTTCGAACTTCTGCTGCCGCTCCCGGTGCGCGCAAACCGCAGTTCTCCGCCGCGCACCCGGCCCCAGGGGGGCGGGCTGCAGGGAGGGGGCGGGCGCGGGCCGGGGGTCCTCCGCAGCCATGGCGCGCCGGCCGGGGGCTGCCTGGCTCTGCACCTGCGGCGGAGGGGGCGGCCGCCGATGCACCTGCCCGACCCGAGCCTACCCAGGCGAGGCCGAGAACACGGCGTCGCGCTCTCCAGGCGCCTCCGGGTCCTAGAACCGCAGCTCTCGGCCTCCCTGAGCCCGACCGTGGGGGTCTCTAGGCCTGGAGGACGCAGACCCCCACACACACACCCCGCGTCCCGGGGTGGGGGAGGGGAAGATTGTCCAACCAATGCGTGCGCGCCTTGGGGACCTAAGGCGGCGCTGCGGTGCGAGAGCTGCGGGCGGGGGGGGGGGGGGCGTCCCCTTCTGGAACTGAAAAGGTGGGAACCCCCTTCCAGGGCCCCCACCTCTGTGTCTCTCCTGAGCTGAGGACCCAGAGGGAACCATCTGCGAACAGGTTGGAGGAGAGGGACCTGGGTCAATGGAGACTTGACCAGCTCTGACTATGCCAGGATCCTCAGTAGCTTTAGACTGGGGGCCCCCCGGGGGAAACAAGGTTGGAGAACCTGGAGACCACTGCGGTGGTGCCAAGGAGAAGTGGGGCATTAAGGATGATTGAAGCCAGCTGCTAGACCGGGGGAGGAACAGGCACGGCAGAGGGGAGGAAAATCTTGCCGCTGTCACCATCAGGGATCCAGGCTGGCCTCTCTCCCTGAAGAATAACAGTCTTGGGGATCTGATAGTTAGAGAAAGATTCCTGTGACAGTGACCAGCAAAGGTAGATAGGGATGTCCTCATTTCAGGGATGAGGGAACAGGGAGCAGTGTCGTCCAAGGACTTGTCCAAGGCCACACAGCTAATAAGGGAAGAAACGGGAAGAGACGGGCCTCTATAGCTCATGTCCAAAATCTACACAGCCTTGGTCTCATTCCTCTTATCTAGCTAGTGGAGAAGGGGTTCAACTTCAGGGCGCTCGGGTTCAAACTCCAGCCTGAATGAGCAGCTCTAGTGCCCCACTTCTAAGGTTCTCAAGTTGGCCCCTCCCTGAACTGCCAGGGAGGCGGGATGCCCCACGCTGGGGGAGCCCCAGGGCTGTCTGATTTCCTCTCCACCAGCCCAGGGGTCCTAAGTGGCCACTCCAGATTATTCCCAGCTCTCCTCCTTATACGCAGAGCCATTGACAAGGGGTTTGGCAGGAACTGAAAATTAATTATCCAATCGTGAGGAAAAACAGACAGGAACCGGCCCTTCCCCAGGCTCGACCTGATTTAAGCCCTCCTGCCAAGGTAACCAGCAGTCCTGCTTTGTGAGGCCTGCTGTCCCTATTTCATGTCCTGAGCAGGGACTTCCAGGGTGGGTGGAAACAGGGTCCCCCTGAGCCTGCTGGGAAGGTATCTCTCCCTTCTTCCTTAGCGTTGCCCTTGGGCCTTGCCTGGAATAAGTGGCTGGGAGATCTTTTTTTGTTTATTTATTAAAGACTTGGCTTCCTGATTCTTCTGTAGCTGCCTCTTTCCATTCATCAGCAAATGTTTCCTTAGCCCAGCTGTGTGCCCAGCTGTCTGCTTAGCGCTGGGGTTTCTGGGATGGTTAAGGAGTCCCTAACCTTGGACTGTTCCTAGCCTAGCAAGGACAGATTTAGTACACCTGGGAGTGCACCTGCATAGACGAGCTTTTGCCTCTGCTACTTCAGGGGACACTGAGAGACCAAAGCCTGGGCCTCTAGTGCAGTAATTGCCAGCCTGTGTCCTCATTGCCAACCACCTCCCACCCAAAACCTGGTGGGATTAAAGCTAAACTAAAAATGGCCTATTGTGTGGAAAATTACCGTATCGGCGAGCCTACATCATCTCTTCTGCTGACGAGGAACATGAGTTACCAAAGGGATGTAATCAATGATTACCTATTTAAATTTGTTTGGCTTGGTAGGAAGCATCTTCCTAAATCATGGACCACAAAGGAGAAAATTCTACCAGAAAAGCTTGGTTGCCGAGTTTGGGAACAGTGTTTCGGTAAGTCTGTGTCGCCCCCTTCTGTGAGCACTTGGTATGACAGCCAAGACAGAGTGAGGCTGTGGTGATGGATGCCGTCACAGCCAGGGTGACATTTCCAGACCACTGTCTCTTTGTCACCTCTAATGGAAGGAATGGGCAGCCACTGGGGACACGGAGAACTCCGGTGACAATAGGCAGTAGATGTCTCCTTAAAGAAAAGGTGGGCTATGGCCTTGGCTCCGTGGGAGATTGCAAAGTGGCAGCACACACCGAGCCCTGGGTTCAAGGCTCACTACTGCAAGAGAAGAAAGGAGAAAGTGAGCCTGGTGAACAAACATGAGGAGGCGTGCCTGTGATCTCTGCATTCTGGATGCTGAGGCAAGAGAATAGCAAGTTTAATTAAGAAAACCTGGGCTATCTAGCAAACCCCTGTTCCCATAAATGATACAGGGGGAGGGGCTACATGGAGGGCTCGGCTGATAAAGTTCTTGCTGTGTAGACCCTTAGCACACAAACAGAAAGCCAGGCATGAGTGCCTGTAATCCCAGGCAGGAAGATGGGAGGATCCCCAGAGGCCTGCCCTCCAGCCAGTCTGGCCAATCAGTGAGCTCTAAGTTCAGTGAGAGATGCTGTTGTAAAAATTTATACATACATACATACAAACACACACACATACATACATACACATACATACATACATACATACATACATACATACATACATACATAAAACAAAGGGTAAATTTTGTATAAAAAGAGGGAGGGACTGGTGTAAATTTATGGTATAATTTGGGTTTGTTTTTTTCCTAATTACCCTCTCTAGTTTACTCAACAAGATTTTTTTTTCAAGACAGGGTTTCTCTGTGTAGCCCTGGCTGTCCTGGACTCCCTTTGTAGACCGGGATGTCCTCCAGCTCACAGAGATCCTCCTGCCTCTGTCTCCATGAGTGCTGGGATCACAGGCTTGCGCCACCGTGCCCAACTCTCCGTTAATTTCATTAACAGATCAGAGATGATTGGGGAGCAATGTTTACACAACATTGATACAGGAGATTCTTCACACACAGATAGTAATAATGATTAATAAAAACAAGTTTAAAGATAAGGAGTGTGATAGAGGATGACATGGGACATTGACCTCTGGCCTCCACGTGTACACACGAGGATGCATACCTGTGCACATGCAAACACACACACACACACCTTGTGTATCAGCACAAGCCTATAATGTGGCCGTAGGGAGGCACTGAAGACCGTTCATTCAGATCTGACATCAACTGCAGGGTGAGTTGGAGGCCATCTTGGTGATACCCTAACTTAAAAGGCAGAGAAAGAACACTGTTAATGGACGTCTCCTTCCGGAGACGTCTGAGCCTGTACGGTGTGTGGTGTGTGTGTCTGACGTTCTACAGGATCCAACACCTTACTCCTACCTTTCACACCTGCTCCTGCAACTCATCCCACTACTATATAACATATATTATATAATATTATTATATTAAATAATAATATTTATTATTATAAATACTGAGCTCTCTCCCTCTTCTCTTTTTTTCTCTCCCTTCACCTCCCTCTTCCCTTTCTCCTCCCCTTCTTCCGTGACTGTCCTTGGACTCTCCTTTCTCCAGCTGCCTGCCTCAGTTTCCCAAGTGCTGGGATTATGGACATACGCCACCAGGTCCCGCCTGGGCTTTGAAATGTTTCACAAATGTTCACTGAACTGTCTCCCCCAAACAGTTGACCAGCTTGCAGCCGCAACAATGGATGAGTGTGGAGACTGGAATGAAAATGGCTCCACGGGCTCATGTGTTTGAGTCCTTGGTCCCCAGTTGCTGGCACTGTCTGGGAAGATTAAGAGGTCTGACCCTGTTGGAGTAGATGTGTGATGTGGGGTGGGCTGTGGGGCTCCAAAAGCTCCAGCCATCCCCCAGCCTGCCCTCCGCTTCCTGTCTGTGACTCCAGGTGTGAGGTCAGCTGCTCCTACAGCGTCATGCCTGCCTGGCTATTTCTATGCTCCCGCCACAATACTGATGGACTCTGTCCCTCTGGAGCTGTGTGCCCCAAAGAAACCCTTCCTTCTGTAAGTTGCCTTGGTCACGGTGTTTTATCCCAGTGAGAGAAAAGTAACCAATACAACGAGAATGCCTGTTTCCACACATCCTCACAAACGCAGTCTCCTGACCAGCATTCTGATCCCAGGGGAGACGTCTCTGGAAGTCACAGAATCTACCTCTTTCTTTGGACTGTAGGTTTCTCCAATCCCTACAAAGCAGGGATTGTATCTTTTCTTCCCTGTGTGTTAAGTTGTTGATTTTTTGTTTGTTTGTTTGTTTGTGTTTTGTTTTGATTTACATTTCTTTGAATTTGCATAGGGAAAATAGTGACAGTGGTGGTCTGTGAGTGCCGAGAAAACCAAGAGGTAAGTCAGGGCGAGAGTAAAGCTTCCCAATGAATTTCTTTCTATATAAATTTGACTGTTGACGCCTCTGTGTTTATTACCTATTCAGAAGCTAAATTAAAAGCCATCTGTAGCGACTGAAGAGATGGTTCAGCAGTTATGAGCACCTGCGGAAGACCGAGGCTCAGTTCTCAGCACCCACACGTTGGCTGACAGCTTTGGGTAACTCCAAAGCCAGGGCATGCAGCCAGCGCCATCTTCTGGCCTCTGAGAGCAAGACAAGCACATGGTGCACATACATGCAGGCAAGACCCACACACACCTAAGATGTTTAAAACAAGTCTTTCAAAAAGTACAAGCAAGCTCTGCGCTGGGGAGCCGGCTCGGCGGCTAGGAGCTCTTGCCGC